CCGTGACACTTCTCATTCTGTTCAAAGGTGAGTGGCTTAGAGAAGGAAAAATGTCCCTGAAATACTTAAGTGCAATATTTGTCTTCATGTCTGCTTCTCTAATACCAACCATGACAAACAATATAAATTTATTTAGAAAAGGAGGTCTTTCTTGTAGTGTATGTAACTACCCTGAGTTTTAGAATCCTATTACTAGTCCATATTTTACATTTTCCATGGACAAAAAATATCAATACTTTTTAGGGCTTCTGTTCTACGCACTCTGTATTAATATTGTACTGTGGGTTCAAAACAGCAAAACTATTCCTTGCATGTTCTTTCCTTCCTTCCTCCAAATAGATCGAACATATAGAGAGAGCACTTTGGTTTTCCTTAGCTTTATTTTTCCTCATAAATTGCAATGCATCTTGGCCTTTAGTGTTTGGATATCATTATTTTTTAGGTGCAGGGAAGTCTTACAATTGCCCATGGTTGGGGCTAGGCAGGACTATCCATGATCAAGGTGACAGAACTCTAGCTCAGTGCAGGCAGAGAATTCGCACTTCCAGAGCCCCATGCAGGACCCTGGGACACATTTTCTGAGAGAGGAGTGTTGAGTACCTTGTGTTTTGGTTCTGAAATATTCTACACTATTTGATCCTTTCAAATCTGTTGGTCAGGAGTGTTGCCTTATAGCCATGTCTGTAACTAAATGAACTCTTGACTATAACTAATTGATCCGAGTTCAAATATCTTTTTTACATTAGGCCAACCAGATGCTTTCACCTGGAAATTTGCAAATGTGAATAGAAAACATGAGTTACTGACACTTTAGAGAAATATTTCATCATTTGTTACTATTGAAATTTTGAAGTTGTCCTGGCTCTGCTTCTCTGCAACCTCTGAGATCTCTAATATGCTACCAGTGAATTCTCCCTTTCGCTTAATCTAGCAAGACTTAGTTGCTTCAGCATGCTTACAAAATAGGTATTTGTGGGGGAAGCAAAGGCATTCACTTCCCATATATACAGCATTACTTAGGTGGGAAAATGTATTTAAAGCTTCTAACATATGTCTCTTACAAGTTAACCTCTGAAATACAACTTGTTTTTAAATTTAACTTGGCATGTAGGCCCTTATTAAATATTTATTAAATGAATAACTGTTGTAGAATTTATGTGATATTTTAATGAGGTATATTTTCTGTGACATTTATTTTGCTTGGAGATAGGCAATCTCTGAACCTTCCAAATGCTAAAGATTAAAAATGCAGAGTTTTAAAACACATTACAGATTACGCACTGAAGGAGGCCCTCAGGATTGCAATGGAAATAAATTAATGAAATCTACAGAGCTTCATTTTTATGTCTTTGAAGTTCTGACATAAAGATTCATTTCTAGTGATGAACTGTGACTGCCCTGCTCCATGGGTAAAACTCTCCTCCAGAGGAGGATGCTGGTAGCTGAGTTGGAATGTTAATTTCATTTTAATGATGTTGAAAAATTGATTTCAAATATAAAATCCATTTTCATTTAGCAGCAATATCCATTCAGGAGAACATAACAAATAAAACATATAAAATATATTACTCATATTACAATTAAAATAAAAAATGATAAATTTGTCAATATATTAAGATTTGTATTATATATAGTTTAATTCATCTCAAGATACAGATTTTTAGCATGAATCTATATCTTAGTAAAAAATTATACAGTGTTAAAAATGCAGGAGGAAAATATTAGCAAACAAGAATTTATTTCAAAATTTCAGAATTTATATTCCTGGAGATAAGTAACCACTTACTGGGTAGTCATGAATTTTAATATGTGCACTGCCTGTCAAGGACTGTCACCAGTGTTAGACAAATGTAATGCTCCTAAAACAGACAGCTTCATATTTAATACCATAGTAGCTATAAAAATTAGCTTCTTGGAAACAAAGTTGAGTGTAAAAATAAAAGTCCTTTCGGTCAATACATAAGACAGTTCAGTCTAAAAAATCTTCAGATGAAAAGTATAAAGTAGAAAAATGAAACATTAAAACACTGACTGGAAACACACCTAACATTTATGAAGCCCAAAGATACAAAGAAAAATCTTAGACTTTCAGAGCGAGGAAGAAAGAGATGTTAAACCCTCCCTGTCTCACATGAAAGAATGACAATCACTGACGGTAGACATGACTGGAAGCAGGAAGGGTAGTACTCTCAAAGTTTTGAGAGAAAACTATTTTAAACCAATAGTTTTATACTCGGCAATTATCAAGTCATTTTAGATGTAAAATATATTTTCAGATCTGTAAGTATTTTGTGAGTTTGCCAAACACCCTATCATCACATTTCTGGAGAGGTGATATAGGTAATGGGAAGTTAAATATAGTCCAGGAGAAAAAAAGAAGGAGGGAAGTCTGGTGAGACATTAGTACAAACACATGTAACACTGATATTTCAAAACTTCTTCTTCAGGCTAAGACACTACAGACATAAAATTTTCATTTCCTTCCTTGTGGGATTATGGTCCTTGATTCCAGAGTAACATTGTTATGGAGTAATAATGTCGTTGACGCTATTTTTAAGGAGAGGTGGGGCTTACACGTCTGCATCTTGGGAGCCTGTGACTATCCAGCTCTTTCTGTGTCTGGTAAGTTTTTCTAATTTGGGAATCCAGTTTTAGGAAAACCCCTTTTTGTCCATATACCTAACTAATAATTTAAATAGTTTAGAAAACATAAGAATAAGTGGCCGAGGTTGCATAATAATTAATAATAAACATTTAATATACTTAGAAACTCTATAATTTGAAAATGATTTATCTTGTCTATCTGACAAAAGTCATTATGTGAAGACACTTCACACTTAGTAACCCAGAAGCCCCAAGGAAGTGTCACCCGAGCCCTGAGGGAGTGCTAGCACTATCTGTCCATTCTCACAAATCCTGGTTACACGTCTATGCTCATGGGGCTTTGGCTACAGGATAGACAATAAAGAAGAAAAGACTCTTCTTCTATTAACTAACTTTGTTGGATTCACTTGAACCCAAATACTACTAATGTATTGAGAAATGTTAGCTTTTATTATATTAAAGAATGTTCTTAACATTTTCTTATAGTAAATGGAAATTATTCTATCTGATACATTTTAAAATCATATTTTGCCAGAACATATTGCAAAATAAAACTCAAAAGTCAAGCGTAGTAAGATTTTCAAATTATATCCAGAATTAAAATTGGCTTCTGACTGTGAGGGTGCTTAGGATTTGAAAAATAATTCCATAAAATTGATATCAAATCAATCCAACCTCATGTAAAGTTAATAACAGCTAAACTTTAAATGTTTTGTTTTAAAAATCATTGTATAATTGGGATGTTTAACTTTAGTAGCTGTCAAAGGACATTTAACTGGGCACCGTAAACAACCAATGAACTATGGTGATGCAGTGCCTCAATATCAGCCGTGTATGCAATGCGGAAGCTGGTCACATCGCCATCACAGACATACCTCAGTACTCGTCAGTTTCAGAACTCGTCACATTTTGATGAGAGAAAATGTTTCAGCACTTGAGGCACTTGCTTGGGACATTGCACTTGCTAGAACTTGTATGAGTCACGACACTGACCCACAAGAGAAAATCCTTCACTGTTACTCATTGGTTTTGGCACTTGTCATGAGCGCCAGAATATATTAATCACAAGTACTGAGGTACCACTGTATATGTAAATATTTCATTGTGGAAAAAATAAAAATTAACTATTAAGAGAAATAAACACAGTCCATTAGCCAGGCTTGGCTTTGACTATTCTTACTACTTGAGACATAAAGTAATTTTCATTGTCTAAAATTGAAAATATTTTAGCTGTGAAATAAATTTTTAATAAATCTATCAAAGGAGAAGATTTAAATATTTTCTCAATAAATAACCACAACATTGAATAAAACAATCTTTGATAGGAATAAATGAAATTAAGAGATTTCAAGCATATTACAGTAATATTTAAATATGCATTTTGACTGATAATTACTAAAAACATTTCACTGTATTTAAAAAATAATTATCCAGTGTTATTTCTATTTTCTGCACAGTATGTGTCTTCTGAATTTGGGTAAATACCTAATTTTTATAAGTGGCAAATAAACGAAACAATTGGGTGAGTGAATTGCTCTGCAACTTATAAGTAATATTTTCTCCTTATTAGTACACAATTGCAATGCAAGTCAGATGGCAAAATATCATTACTGTAAGAGAGATGCTCTCATAGTTATAACATTCAGACTAATCAATTTACTTCATGACTACAGCCAAGAACATTTGAGAGAGAGGAAAAGGTGTTACCAGCCACCAGATTCTGGAATAAGAGAAATCCATTGGTTTTTTAAGGACATGTTATAAACGTGCTATTTCACCACTAAAAATGTTACTATGTATTCAAAAAAAGTTATTTATGGATTCACTTGCTTTCCAATTGCTGCTGAGAATCAAAATTTGCCAATTTTGCAAGTCATGTAAATGTTCCATATTATATGTGAATGAAAAGATTCACTATCAGTTTCCTGACAGATGTAAAACAATCTGCTATGAGTCTAAAATAAATTCACTTCAATCACTCAGAGGAATGCTCTGCTTTGAAAAACCTCACTTTAAGAAGGGGTACTTGTCATAAGAAGAAACACAAAGAGGAATAGTTTATTCTCTCATTTTATCATAGCGATTCATTACCAAATTTAACATCAAATAGATATTTGTAGGCCTACATTCAAATATATTAAATATGTTTGTGTTTTGAAATAACATGAGTATATTTAGAGAAACTTCATTTCTACTCTAGGTGAACTATACTCATTTCAAACTGCAGCCTATTAGAATCAGGAAACGTGATCACTGAATAGTTTTAAGGAATTCCAGGGCAATATATGCTTCTGTCTGTTGGTTTCTTTCTAACTAGTCTCTTTCTAAATTCCCCACAAGTGATGACAAAGTATAAATTAAAGTTAGGAAAAGGAGGAAAAAATCTGCAAACCTACTTTTTCTTCAGTCTTCTGTCCTTCTCAGCTTGAGTTCCAAGTTTGCCTAAACCCAGGGACTCCTGAGCGGCGGCTTCCGTCTCCATGAAGCCTCCTGTGGGGAAGTAACTGTCCGCATTAGCTCCAATACATTGTGTCAGGTCTGAAACAAAATTCTTATACACTTATTTGAGCAATGAGTTAGTATCATATTTCTCCACTTTATTTTTTCATTGCCTTTATATTTCCAAACCAACATGCATAAAATGTCATGGGCACACACACAAACATACACTGAGATTGTGAAAAATGACCTACTCTTGGACTAGACAGTGGCACCCGGTAGCAGTGTAATGCATGTGGCCCGTGCACTGACAAACACGTGAGTCTACAGTTTGCAAGTCTTGGGTCTCTCTTACTATTTTTCCAATGAAACATAAGAGCCAATATCTGTGTTGTATTGAGGTTTTCCAACATTTCAAAAAATTTTAAATATTATATCTATAATGGGATAATTGATAATCCAATGTGTGAATATCTTCAATTCCATGCTGAGAGAATGGAGAGGCATTTCCTGACTTCTAGAGTCATTCCATGTGTAGCTTATGGAACACTTACTCCCCTGCATGACCCCTATGTCCAGTATACACCTAACGTCCAGAATTTTCTATGTTCTTGCAGGTTTTGTTTTGTTAATTTCATTATAATACCTTCAAAAAATTCTAAGTCTGTTTTGAAAAAGACCTTTGTAAAAACTGTTTTTACCAGTAAGTCAAAAATTATTGGGTTTAGTGGCAATTTTATTGGCTTTGGAATCTATTTGGTATGTGTGTGTGTGTGTGTGTGTGTGTGTGTGTGTAATGTATATATTATATACATACATAATATAATGTATATCTCCTTGGAGTGAAAAGAGAAAGAAATATGTTAAGCATCAAACACAGAATCACACATTTTCTAGTGTAATTATTTAATGCAGAATCCCTGTACATAGATTAATTCATATATATTTGTTATAGCTAAAAAATGAGAACTTAATTCTGGGCTCTGTTTTCTCTTTGGTATCGTAAGAACATGAAATATGCTCATTATATTGAAGCAGATTAAGGTATTATTATACCATGTATAGTATGAAATATATATATATATATATATACATCATTTATATATCATTCCGTATACATAAAATGAAAGTGGATTTAAGCTCCAATTTAGCTCAAGATCAGATACAAATATTTAAGTTAATATTAATGCTTACAAAGACTACATAAGAAATTATACCAATATATCAGTAAATAAGAACTCTTAAAGACAACTTTTATTCTCTGTCATTAAAATAGGTATTTCTTGACTTAATATTTGTAGGACTTGACCAGGAACAAATTTTGTTGGTACTGTTTTTCATAATTTATTTTAGCAAATAATTTATAATACTCAATGCTATTAATTTTGGGTCATTAATGTAACAAGTTATTCTTATAAGCTGTAAGAAAGTTCTATTTGACTAAAAACACATTGATGGCTATCTAGATCTTATGCAGGAATTCATAGTTTGGGGATCAAAATTTATTTTATTCAATTATGCACATGTAATTAATACCTAAAGTTTTTTTATTATAAAAGGTTTTTATTATTGGTATCATTAGGAAAGTCATCCAATAGTTAACTAAATCACCCTTGGGGATCATTTTTAAATATGGGATTTTTCCACTATGTACCATGAGTGAATATTTTCATTTTATTTCTCTCATTGGTACACTTGCCTTACTGTATATCTATAAATTATTGTTCACAATCTGCAATTAATAATAAAATTGTACTCTTTAAATATAAATGGAAGTGACTGATTCATTTTAAAGCTATGAAATTTTTCAGCCATACAGCTGAGGAGGGCCATGGAGATGGATGAGACGAACCCATTCAAAACAGTGAGATATTTTCAGCCAGCATGTGGTTGGATTAGACTTTTTATTCTTCAGAACAAACAGTAACAACTAAATTTTGATGCAAATTTGATCAAGAGTCAAAGATTTCAATTACAGAAAAAAAAAATTTTAAATAAAAACTCTGGAAGAGAAGCAACAAATGCTCTAGAAGAATTTTATAAGTCAAAACTAGACCCAGAAAAAACAAGCATTTGAATTTGCTTTTTATAAATAAAATTATAAAAATAGAAAGCATGAGGAGCTTGAAAATACTATAAATACTTCAAAATCAATATCCTTTGAACGAAGAATTTAATAGAGATTGTGGATGCATCCAGTTTGAAAATGCCAATAGAAAGTGACACTTTAATAGAGTAGGTAAAATTATTTTTATGTAACATATATAGGAATATACCCTTAAGCAGGGTCAAAAGTATAAATACATTCATTTTTTAGCCCAATTAAACTATTTCTAGATGAAAAGAACATTCTTTCATAGAACTGATCCAGCTGCCCCGCAGATCCCAAGTTTATCTTTCCACATGCCTGATCAGCTAGCTAACTTGTAAGGTGAGTCTGCTTCATTTTGTCCAGGTATCAGCAAGCTCCTATGGCTGTGTGGACTTTAGGAATATCTATTCATCTATGCTGATACTTTATTCACTATTCATGTGTGGCTATTGAGCACCTGAATTGTGGTTAGTCCAAAGGAAATACAGTAGTATAAAATATGCACAATATTTTGAAAACTCAGTACAAATATATATATGCATATATATACACAATAGATAATAATTTTATCTCATTACATGTTCAAATGATAAACTTTTTATATATTGGTTTAAATAAAATATATTATTAAAATTCATCTCACTTATCTCACTTTTCTTAATGTGGTTATTAGAAAAATAAAAAATGTGACTCACATTTGTGGCTTGCATTATATTTCTGTTGGCAGGGCTATATACAAGTGTCTCTTACACTGGAGATAGCATCAGTCCCTCAGGGAGAGAGTGCAAATATTTACTTATGTTGATGGAAAGAGGTCACTACATTTTTAGATGTCGCAATGACTACAAAGTGAAACTAATATACGTTAAGCAGGGGATAAGGATTCTAAACGTCCTCAATGGGTAGAGAATACCTTGTCTTTCTGAAAATGTCAGGAGTGCCCCTGATGAGAAACACTGGCTTGTGGGTGACTCCTCAGGAGATTCACTGGGAGAGAACAGCATTAATTCCATCCATCTCATGGAAAAAGGAACTTAGGCATAAAGGGCTTGAGTCTTATGATTCAGTGGACGCTCAGATAATAAATTACATGTCGCCTTGTCCATAGCCCCGTGGCAGTTGCACATACTAAGTCCCAAGCCAAAATTCTTGTCCTCAAAGTTCTCTGGTCTATTTATCTTCAAGTATACTTTTATAAGGACTTTGGGGATTTGGAAGTGATAAAGACCACTCCCAAAGTGTGACCCAATTCAGTATTTTTTCCAGTCCTTTTTCTATATAAACATGGTAACCTCAAATCAGTGGGGCAACAATCCAGTGGTCCAATCTTACACAATATCATTCTGGCCAGCAGAAGTGAATGGTTCAGTTGTTAGACTACTCTTCTGGAACCAGGCACAGGCCATTGGTCCAGAACAACCCCATAGGTGAAAGTCTCTGAGCTCAGCAGGACATGGAGTAGAGAATAAGGGAGCACCCTGATGGGTAGAAACAGGTCCATATGGTTTAGTTAGATTAGATGATACTGCCTCCCTGGCTGGTCCCAGGCTCTGAAATGTAACAGCAAATTTCAGTGCTTCCAGCAACTGGACCCACACAGGTCTACCTATTTTTTGCTGAGGATGCCCTTCCCTGATGGCAATTCCAGCCTCAGCCTCTCTCAGGCACTAGAGGAAAGCTCTTGGAGAATTTCAATAAAGCTGCTGCAAAGTGTGAGGCCCCCTAGGATCCAGGTTGAGGAATTCAAGGAGAGACCCTCTTATGACTGAATCTATAGCTGGTACTGGTTGAAGATATTTGTCCACTTGGATTATGAGAGCAAATATCTCAATATTGCCTGGGTTTTAGACTCTATTCAAAATTTCTTTCCTGTGGCCCTTGACATACAGGTGTGAAGAAATCTCTGGCACAAATCTGCATTTGAAGGTCTCTGCCTTTCAATTTTTCTAGCAGAAGTCCCTGCTATTGTATAAAAAAAGAACACCTCTAACTCCAGAGGGACTGTGACTGAAACTGCTGCTGGCCAGTAGCTTCATCACTCTTTTATCCGACTTCTCTTTAGTATTATTTCAAACCACTCATTCTATATTTACGCTTGAATTCAAAACTGTCTCCTTAATTGTTTCTGGTCTGTTAGCTCTCTGGAGGATGCACCTGGGCAGTGCCTGGCCCACAAAGAGTGTGTAAAACAATGCACTCATAACTGAAGCTGAATACTGCTTTTTCCAAAGAAAGGCTCTTTAGCCCTGAAGAGAATGAGTCATCTTTAATTGATACTTTGTGGAATTTATATATCTGTTAGTTCCATAGAATCTAGGAAAAACCTAATTTGGGGGTGGGGGAGAAGCCAGCATAGCCATCCAAGTTTTATGTGTAGAATGGCACTTGGTAAATAGTGCTGGTGCAATGCTGATTCTGTTTTTGGCATGATGCAATTGTTTTCTTTTTTATACTCATTATATAGTAGGTCAATGAGCTCAGAGAGTTATAATACATTTGTCAGATGACCATAAACTAAGGGATATGCAGTTTAGTAGGCAAGAAATCTCTTCGAAATGCATTGCTTCTCAGGTGTATTAAAAGGAAATTTGTAAAAGTAGCTCTTTAAACAATCAATAATATGCCCTGGCTGGTGTAGCTCGGTGGATTGAGGGAGGGCCTGTGAAGCAGAGGATCCTGGTTTGATTACCAGTCAGGGCACATGCCTAGGTTGCAGGCCAGTTCCCACTGGGGGACACATGAGAGGCAACCACACATTGATATTTCTCTCCCTCTCTCCTTCCCTTCTCCTCTCTCTGAAAAGAAATAAGTAAAATATTTTTTAAAAAGTCAATAATGTATCCACTTTACATGTATTTAATTGGGGATTCTGCCTGTTCAAAATTAATATATTTTCTTCTTTCTATTATCTTTTCAGAGCTTTGCTGTATGTGGTTCTATTTGTTCAATTCTCCATTCT